GGGGTCGGGAAGGAATTTTCCTCCAGGGTAGATTGGCAAAGGCCCTGGAGGTTTTTCGCCTTCCTCCGCAGCATGCGGCAGGGGTCGCTGGCTGGAGGATTCTCTGCGACTTGAAGTCTTCAAATCATGATTTGGGGACTTCAACAGCTGAGTCAAGGGAGAGAATTATTCCAGGAGTGGGTGGGTCAGCTTTTGTGGCCTGCATCATGCGGGAGGTCAGACTAGATGATCATATTGGTCCCTTCTGACCTTAAAGTCTATGAGTCTGAGTCCAGTTGGGCTACATCTACATTGCAAAGCAATTAGGGCCTGAACCTTTGGGCTTACATTGCAGTGTAGACGTACCCGAAGTCTGAGAAGTGTGGGGGTCGGGGTATGTGTGTGCGCCTTATTTTATATACAGTAACTCCTCACTTAAAGTCGTCCCGGTTAACATTGTTTCATTGCTGATCAATTAGGGAACATACTCGTTTAAAGTTGAGCAATGCTCCCTTCTAACGTCATTTGGCAGCCGCCTGCTTTGTCCACTGCTTGCAGGAAGAGCAGCCTGTTGCAGCTAGCTGGTGGGGGCTTGGAACCAGGGTGGACCGACAGCTCCCTGCTCCCCTAAATTCCCTGTGCAGCAGCTGCCCAGCAGGCTAGCAGTTGCAGCTGTCCCTCCCCCCCACTGCCATGTGCTGCTCCTGCCCTCTGCCTTGGAGCTGCTCCCCGAGACTCCTGCTTGCTGTGCAGGGGGAGCGGAGGAAGAGAGTGGGCTAATGTCAGGGTGTCCCCCTGCTCCTGCACCCCACTTACCTCATCTTCCATAAAGCAGGGGACACACACCACAGGGCTTAGGATGGAGGGAGCTTGCTGGCTGCGGTCTCAGTAAGCTGATCTAATTAACAAGGCAGTGTACTTAAAGAGGAAATGCGCATCTCTCTCAAACACACAGAAACACACACCGTGTGTGTGTGTGTGTGTGTGTGTGTGTTTCTGTCTGTGATGCTGTCTCCCTTCCCTCCATTCCTGCTAACTTGTAGAGTGTGAGAGTTAACCCTGGAAGGCTCAGCCAAATGCTAGTTCATCATTTAGCAGTAAGGCATTCCCTGGGAAATATCCCACCCTCTGATTCCTCCATGTCAACCAAGCTTCAGAATCATCATCACTGTGTACCAGTATTAAATTGTTTGTTTAAAACTTATAGTGTGTGTGTGTGTGTGGGGGGGGGGGAATTCCCTGGAACCTAACCCCCTCATTTACATTAATTCTTATGGGGAAATTGGATTTGCTTAACATCGTTTTGCTTAAAGTCGCATTTTCAGGAACATAACTACAACGTTAAGTGAGGAGTTACAGTACTTTCTAGATCACAAGATGTTGATAACTATCATTTTTATAAAAATGAGTTGTTATACCCTTCTGCATATTTTTTGTTTGTTTTTTGGCATAGTTAAATCAGTACAAAAACAGTGTGCAGAGAAGCTCCCTTGAGACTGATTTCAAGATCGTTAGAGAAGTCAGCATTCAGAGGGAAGGTTGTAAATTCAGCCAATTTACATACAGTTTGCTTTAGTTTCTTTGTCCCACTAGTTCCCTTGTTGGGACTAGAAATGGTAGTGGGGTGGAGTTTAAGAGTTAGAAATGGTGCTGCTGGTCCCATATCTCCCTGCCTCCACACTCATTCCCGCTGGAGGTAAAAACTATATGAATAATTCCATTACCTTACCATGGCTTATCTGTTTTTTCTTAGATTTTACATGACAAAGTTACTTTCCTAATTATGACTAATCATGAGTGCTGAGTAGTCTTCTCTCTTTAATTAACTTCTCACCGCACCCCCACCCAACAATCCTGCTTAACGTTCTTCCAACCTCAAATGTTGAAAGGAGAAAATAGAACAAAAATATTTAATTATTTCACTGACTTTCTTCACTTGAATTCACAATGAGACTTGCAGGTTCAGCTGAGGAACTAAAGAGCTGGTTCTGAGACGCCTTATCCCAGAAGGAGGCTGGGAGGGACTGGGTGAAGGGTGCTGCTCTAGGGCCTACTGAAATAGGAAAATAGGCAGGACCCGGTGCATTCCCAGCCATGGAATTTTCAGTGAAATTCACCCCTGGCAGCACTATTATGCTCCAGAATCTGAGCTTTAATTAAAAAACAGAACAAAAAACGATTTCTCTGGCTCTTATGACTGTGGAGATGATGATAAATGTGAACGGACTGTAAATCAATGCAGTACAGCCCACCTGAGTCCGCAGACAGCCTGAAACAAGAGTTTTAAGAGGTGTGAATTGCCCCATTCAACAGAGCTCTGTGGTATCCATGGTTCACAGTTATGGAATGTGGAAATTTTCTAAGATGCATCATTCAACATTTTTTTGACATAGAATTTGCCATTTTGCTATAGCCTAGCATTTTGTTTTTTGGCTCCGTGCCCTGCTGGAACTTGTCTATAGCTGCATCTTGCCCTCCAGGTTTCCTCACGGGCATAGTCAAGTTAAAGTACCTACTGCCTGCACTGTTCCATTGAGGCAGACAGCAGGGCATGGGACAGCCAGAATCTAGTTTACAGATAAGGAGTGGGCAAATCCAGATGTGTAGGTTGGTGACCTTGGGCTACTTGGAGGTCAGGGAGGTAGGGTGATGACCCACTGAAGCAGGCTACAAGAGAAGGATTAGGGAACCTGAGGTAAGGAAATAACCAAGTATTTGAGGTTACAATCCATTATCCTCCACATGACAACACAAATCACCATAAGGACAACAGTGGGGGCTAAGAGTGTTAGGATTACTTCTTAGTCTAGTAGGTGTCTTTCCCAGCTGAAACAACAAGGAGTCTGGTGGCTCCTTAAAGACTAACAGATTTATTTGGGCATAAGCTTTCGTAGGTAAAAAACCCACTTCAGATGCATGGAGTGAAAATTACAGATCCAGGCATAAATATACGGACGCATGAAGAGAAGGGAGTTACCTTACAAATGGAGAACCAGTGTTGACAGGGCCAATTCAGTCAGTGGATGTGGTCCACTCCAATAAATGATGAGGAGTTAAGTGACACTATTAGAGGACCCAACCACATGAGCCACACCATCAGGGGCTCATTTACCTGCACATATACTAATGTGATATGTGCCAGCAATGCCCCTCTGCCATGTACATTGGCCAAACCGGACCGTCTCTATGTAAAAGAATAAATGGACACAAATCAGACATCAGGAATGGTAACATACAAAACCCAGTAGGAGAACACTTCAATCTCCCTGGACATTCTACAACAGATTTAAAAGTAGCCATCCTTCAACAAAAAAACTTCAAAAACAGACTTCAAAGAGAAACTGCAGAGCTACAATTCATTTGCAAAGTTAACACTATTAATTTGGGTTTGAATAGGGACTGGGGGTGGCTGGCTCACTACAAAAGCAATTTTCCCTCTCTTGGTATCGACACCTCCTCATCAATTGGGAGTGGATTACATCCACCCTGATTACAGTAGTTCTCCACTTGTAAGGTAACTCCCTTCTCTTCATGTGGCAGTATATTTACGCCTGCATCTGTAATTTTCACTCCATGCATCTGAAGAAGTGGATTTTTTTACCCACGATAGCTTATGCCCAAATAAATGTTAGGCTTTAAGGTGCCACTGGACTCCTCATTGTTTTTGTAGATACAGACTAACAGGGGTACCCCTCTGATAATTTCCCAGCTGAGTCACTCTGATCTCATGTTCTCAGAGATGGATCTATAACTAACCAAGAAGTGACAGTGGAGTTTGAACCAAGGACCTAGAGCGCTGAGAGAATGAACTTTTGTGACGATGTAAAAGAGTGACTCCTGTTGCTGTTAGCAGTAGTAGATGCATATCCTCTTACATGGACCAGCCACCAGCGAGGGACTAAGACATACCCAACTATAAATGAATGAAAGCTGAGGGAGATCAGGAGTGAAAAGGTGAGTTTTACACCTGTTCATGGAACACCAAGGGAGATAGCAAAAAGGTGGAAGGCCACGTCCTATAACTGAATCCCTGTGATTGACCCCGGTATCTGTGTTGAGCATCATTCACTTGAAGGAACTTTGTGGCTGCAACGGTCTGGTCTGTGGTGGAGCTAACTAGGATCAGGCCTAGTCTCCACAGTAGGGTTGAAGGGGCAAAACCCCCCTAGTGGGGAGCAGTGACGTGTAAAGGTGATTTGGAATGGTCAGGGGCGGCTCCAGGCACCAGCGCACCAAGTGCGTGCTTGAGGCGGCAAGCCGCGGGGGCAGCCTGCCGGTCGCTCTGGGGGCGGCAGTTAGGGAGGCTTCGGTGGCAATTCGGCGGCGGGTACGCTGAAGCCACGGGACCAGCGGACCTCCCGCAGGCATGCCGCCGAATCCGCGTTACCAGCCGGACCTCCCGCAGGCATGCCGCCGAATCCGCGTTACCAGCCAGACCTCCCGCAGGCATGCCCCGAAAGCCGCCTGACTACCGTGCTTGGGGTGGCAAAATACATAGAGCCGCCCCTGGGAATGGTCCAGCTGTGGCTGAAGGGGAATATGCTACAGGGGCGTGAAAGCGCTCTGACTATTGTGGTTACAATACCAGCCATTACCCCGCACCCCTGCAGGAACAGCTGTGGCGCTGCACAACCTGTGCCTCGGGGCAGGAGCCGAGCCTTGCTGTGTCTCAGCCTGCCAAGCCGCTTGCCCGCGCCCAGGCCTGTCTGCCGCCCGGCCGGCCGGCCAGGTCGCTGCTGCTGACTCCTCCTCGTGTGGCCCGCAGGGTCACCGGATTGGCCGCGCCTCTCGCCAGCTGGGCAGGGAGAAGGGCTTGGCTCTGAATCCCGCTCCGTGGCCGCTGCACTCCAGGCGTCCGCGTCTTGGCAGAGCCCAGCCCGTCTCTCCGCTGCCCTGTGCAGGGAGGCAGAGACGCCCGGCAGTCGGCGAGCACGGCCCGGCGGAGGAGCCCGCTGCAGCAGCGCCCCCCTGCACACAGCTCCAGGGAGGGGGACCCCCGACCCCAGCTTCGCCGTGCGTGAGGGGCCCATCCCCATCCAGCCCGCCGCCGGCATCCCCCGGCTGCAGCGACTCCAGCTCGCCGCGCTACCAGGTGGGTGCCTGCAATGGGCAGCGAGGGCTGCAGCCTGCACAGCGCGCCGGCTGGGGCTCCTCGGCCAGGGGCTGGGGGTGTGCGCGTGGAGGGGCCGGGGGGGGCACATTTCGGGTGACTGCATAGCCTGGGGGGAGCAGGAGGGTGCGCCTGAGGTAAGGGGATGCTGCAGCAGCAGCCCTCCCCCCCGCGATGTCAGGCTGGCCGGGAATTGCAGCTGGATGGGAATAACTGATGCATGTTACCGGAAAAGCGGAAAGGAGTCGGTTAGCTTCATTGCCTGGACTTCAACACAAAATCTACCAGGGATCCAGGTGACTGAGCCTCTGAAGTTCTGCATTGTCGCCTTCTGGCATGATGCGCACAACAGAGGGGGCCACGGATGCATTTTTTTTTAATCAGCACATACTGGGACAGAGAGACGCAGAGATGGGGCCCAGGCTGCATTTGCCGGCTCAGACTGGGACAGACAGGCAGACATGCGCGTGCACACATACAGGCCATGGCTGCATGTATAGGCTGGGACTGACACACACACACACACACACACACTTGAATTTCTCAGCTCACACTGATGACTGAGAGGGCCACACACAGCCAAGGGCATGTCTATGTTTTCCATCTCGCACTGGTTGGGACGCACACACAATCATTCATGTACATAGGGACAAGTCTATTTCAAATTGGTGGGAGATAGATACATCACAATGGATAAAGCCTGACTTTCCCAGTTTCTGTTGGTGGGGTGCCTACACATGCAGGATTATATGTCTGCATTTCCCAGCTGACGCTGGAAAGGATGATGATAGGAATAGGGTTTGCATTGCAGTCAAGATATGTTTCCTGCATAGAGCAAGTTGTCTCACTGCATGCAGTATACCACCAGCAAAGCTTGGAATGAAGAAAGATACTATCCTTGTATATAATAAAAGGAGCTGGATGTGGATGCTTTAAAAGTTGTGATCTGATACTGGCTGGGATAAACCTCTACATGAAGCTTAAACATCTGGAACTGGCAGTGGGGCATGATATTATATAACTGACTTAGTGGAAATGAAATGGAGTGAAACCCTTTTGATAGCTAAATTTATTTTTTCCATGAAGAAAAGTCATGATTTTCCCCCCAGGCAGAGCCATTTAAAATGTTTCTTCATAAATTGTGTGTGTTTTTGTTAACATGAATTGTAAATCAAATTTTACTCAGGAAGTTGCTACACTATTACAGTACCTTTTCATTTTTTCCCTACTGGTTTACAAAAGTAAAAGAATGCCCTGTATTTTTAATCTGTGAGGAGTGCTGCAAAATCATAACAAGCTTCTTGAGTTTGTGTAGATTATTTAAAACAGTGTTTTGGAAATCACCCCCCCCCCCCCCCCCCCCCCTCTGAAGTTCTAATGCTTAACATGATCATCTGGCTTGGGTTTTGTCACTGTTCCTCCCCTTTAGTTGTATTTTATAACCCCCACCTTAATATTCTGGAAGTCTGCACTGTTGATATTCCTATCAAATAAAACAGCAATGCAGATATTATGGACTAATAGCAAATGAAACAGAAGACCTTGCTGTGCTCTCAAAGTGAATTACGTTTCCAAGGTCGAACAACAAACTGCAGTGTAACTTGTATATGTTAACATATTGGTACAGAAATATTCATGAACCTCATTGGAGCACCAAAGATAAAAGTTCTGCTTAGGTAGGCTTTTAAAAAAATAGAATATTCTTCTTCTGCTACTAGTGTATACTCTAAATTATGTATTACTTAGTTAAGGTGCAATAAACTGATTAAATTTATTCCCCAAATATCTATAGCTGAGTTTCAGTGGAACTAGTTTATTTCACTGCATGACTAACAGATTTTCTGTTCACTAGATGAGTAACTTGCAAGATGACACTGGCTCAAAGATTAAAGTATCATCAAATATATAATATTTTCTTTATAATGTAGTCCTGGTTGGATTGTAATATTTATCATATATAATAACTAGCCTTTGTTCTTATATCCATACCTACCACAATTAAACTTTTAATCTTTATATAAATAACATGACCTTGATTTTTAGAGGTTACCCAAAGGTGGCTAGTATAATCTGAAACAACTGTAATATTTCAGAAATTCAATAAGATGAAATGGTGAAGTTCAGTTTAGTGTTACTTGAAGAGTTAATGACCAGAGATTTTTCTTTTCATTTATTAAAAGTTGACACAGGCAGAAGACTTACTATTTCTCTCATACCCCCTTAAATTACATATATTTGTATTGATTTATTTAAAGTATCAAGTGTGAGGTTTAGTATTTGCATATTTCTTTAGAATATATTTTTAATCAACATCTTCCCAATATAAATAAATGGTAAATATATATCTGAAAAAAATAATTTTCCCCATGTGAATACATAATTGGGACATACTATAGTACTTGTGGTTGAAAAGTATAGTAGAACCTCAGTTACGAACACTTCGGGAATGGAGGTTGTTCATAACTCTGAAATGTTTGTAACTCAGAACAAAACGGTATGGTAGTTCTTTCAAAAGTTTACAGCTGAATGTTGATTTAATACAGCTTTGAAACTTTACTATGCAGAAGGAAAATGCTGCTTTTAACCATCTTAATTTAAATGAAACAAGCTGATACAGTTTCCTACCTTGTCAAATCTTTTTTTAAATTTTCCTTTATTTTTTTAATAGTTTACATTTAACACTGTTCTGTACTCTATATATATTTTTGGTCTCTGCTGCTGCCTGATTGCGTAGTTCCGGTTCCAGATAAGCTGTGTGGTTGACTGGTCAACTCTGGTATTCGTAACTCTGAAGGTTCTGCTGTAGTTGGAAAAACTCTCTCTCTTTCTCTCCTCTCAGTATCTCTCCTAGCTTTCACCAGTTTCCTTAACACACTCCTGGCTCTTTATGGTATTGGCTGCCTCATTTACCATTTGGCCTTTTGTGGTCAGTTGCCTCACGGAACTGACTTTTATTCTCAAGTCCTCTGATGCTCAAAGGTTCTGGTACAACTTTTCTAGACTTCTGATTTTATCTTGGCTCCATTCCTTTTATCTTCTTTAAGCTTAGGAATTGTTGTACCATGGCAGACCATTGCTCATCTGTTCTTGTAGAAATAAATTTTAATTTTAGATGCTGATACCTGAAGGGCTCTGCTTACCAGAGTATATAATCAAATATTTCAGAAACTTTTAAAAATACAACGTTGTCCACAGACAAATACTAGAACTAATGTAAAAGTAAACTTAATAACCCATCAGACCTAATTATAATGAATATTCCCCACCAACTAACCTCAACTAAAAAGGAAATACAATTCTTTAGTTTCTCCCTGATAGGATGCCACACTGAACTGTAGTATTTATTAAAGGGAAGAGAATGGTCCTGCCATGCGGGCAGGGGACTGGACTCGATGACCTCTCGAGGTCCCTTCCAGTCCTTGAATCTATGAATCTATGAATAAACATAGGAAGCCTTGCCCCTTCTTTTCACGAGTTTTCCCCTAGAGACAGCATTGCTAGTCTCCATTGTCACTTCCTTACTCCAGCCCCAGTGCTTGATGTCCGATGAAGGCAGAATACATTCATAATGCTAATTGTACCTAATTCACTTTCCTTTAGTTTCTTAATCTTGGTGTATTTCTATAGAGAAAGTTCTACATCCACTCTTGGAAGACTGGTGATTTGCTTCAGTACCTTCAGATTTCTTGGGGAGTGAGGGCTTCTGATTCACTTCAGATTGGTTTCTAGGTTTGGGGGAGGCTTATATCTTTGCTTTCCTTTGGTTTCTCGGGGTGCCTTCAGATTCAATTCTTGGGTGTGTAGGAGGTTTTCTCAAATAATTCTGCTACATACATTTTATATATATATATATATATATATTATATATGTGTGTGTATATATATGTGTATATATATATATATGTATGTATATGTGTATATATATAAAGTGTCTGTGCTTTTAGTTCTACAGAACATTTTTATCTCACTAGAGATTGTTTCTCTGTGGAAGGCTAGCGTCTGGTTCAGCATTCCTGTGCTCTTCTATCATCTGTATCAGATTTGCAGTGGGACATGGGTAGGGAAACTGCATGCAGCTCACTTCTTAAAACTTTACTACTGTTGTGTAGACTAAGTCTGTCCTAATCAGGGGACTGTGCCTTATATACAGAGAAGGGGATAAACTGTTTTAGCATTCCTCTCTCTCCTGAATTTTAATGTTTTCTAGACTTCTTTTTCTGAGAGATCATTATGAAAGATTGGGGGTGGAATTCCTGCAGAGCCCAAACGTGTCCTGTATACTAGTTATCTGCTAAATTTGAAGTCTGCTCCCCTACTGGAGTAGGGAGAGATGGTTGTTCCTGGAGATGAAGTTTAGGGGGATGCTATTTTGATATGGGGGATTCCACTCTTGTTCCCTAATAGTTCTCTTGGGTATTTTCCCCCTAAAGTTCCTAAGGGGTTGTGGTTCTTTATCTGAATTTGATTTGCCTCACTTACTTAAAAAGATTCCTACCCTCTGCAATAATAGAATGAGTGTACCCAACCTCTTTCTTTGGTTGAGCATGTTTGGCTACAGCAAGGTTCTAGTCCACTAAGTTCATAGCAAAGGTCCTACATCAATGTGCAAACCTAAATACATGTGCACAGGGGCTGCAATGGTGTTGAATTATTGACAATTCAGAATGTGGGTTTGATGGTGACTATGGTTAGACAAAAATGAAAAACACAAATAGAAGTTACAGAAATCTGATTTTTATTAACAGTTTCTTTAAGATTTGCATTTAATTGTACTATCTTCAGATTGGGATAATTTTCCAGTTTGTAAATATGAACTTGCAATGTCCAGCTACCTTCCATATAGACTTTGAGGCAATTGTGACTCATTACTATATAGTAGTTCATAAATTCTGGTGAATGGAAATTCTGTTATGTCCCTCCACTAGGGAGGTTTGTTACAGTGATGGCAGCAGCAAGGGGCTGAAGGGAATGGGTTTTGAAATT